TACAACCCTATGCTTTCCAAAAGATTGTTATTACTGCGAAAATAATTTTTTTACGGCGATCAAAATATTTCATACTGATTGGACTCGATTGAAACTTGCTGCTTCGGGTTTCTCGGGGTAGTCGATTATAAAAATATGCTCAAAAATTTGTTTAAGAGTATTTTTAAGAGACAAATTCAGCATAGGTAATCGAGATAAGATTACGTGGATTAATGTGAGAGTTTCCACCGTTGCATTTGAAGCGATGGAGGATAGCTGGATTTCTGGAATGTGTATGTACCTATATAATTAACCGTTTTGTGTAACGGGATGCACGTAATAAACGTTTAGATGCCTCTACCTTAGGAGAAATCACGAAAAGTTAGCATGGCTGTAGTTCATTGCTCCGAATACAATCGCTTTATTTCAGCTTGACTAAAGCCGCTTCCAACTCACTCGTCCGCTAGACAGTTATGTTTACGCGCGGTGAAACTTACGAAACTTAACTAAATTAACTAGTTAACGAATAGATTATGCACACGACATTTAACTGCCAACTTTACGCAGAAGGGAGACTTACAGTTTTCCACAGTAAACTGCAAAGTAGCCTGGGGAACATCTCTTAAGTTCAGATATCGGTTTATGTAATGTTACCCCGGTTTAATCAACTAAGCTTGGACGATTACTTCCAAACGAGTTTGAAATAAATCTTGCTACACGCATCGAAACGGTTAACAGCGAGCTTCCAATATTTTTAACTATGGTGTTTTTCATGCACGCATCTTCAGCTTTGATAAGGAAAATTACTCAACATTGATCTTCTAAACTTCAAACTTCTCGTTTACACGAAATTGCGAATTATGTACGCTAGGTTTCGTATAACCGGAGAAGATAAACGTTTCTATTCCAGGAATTGGCCTTATTTATCATGGATTCAAGCTAAAGCTTGCACGTAGGTACTGCTCGACGAGGAAATTGAATTGGATTCACAGAGAGTAAGCGAGATAGAACAACAACGAGCAAATCTCGCATTGCCAACATCCAATGACTCGATGAGTCGTCTAATAACGAAATATTTCTATGTTTTTCGATATATCTTCGTAAAAGCATCGTAGTAACGAATGAAAATGTGACTCCAAATTCTGAACGGTGCAATTTACCCATATGTGTATTTTTATTTCCTTGGATCTGTAAAAAAAATCTACTATATTTAGCTGGCAGGCCCCTCTGAACTACAGTATAACAGAAGGTGTAATTTGAATTGGTCCAGAAATAGTTAAGGCGGTCTAGTTATGTTGTTCACACGGTATATAATCTTGTCGCTCTTGTCTGTCATCTGCATACTGTCTGTAGAGGCGACAAAGGACAATGAGGATGTTGAGATCAAGGGTATAGAAGGATCCACCACACGATTCAGAGAGTTAGCTACAAGCAGCGTTACGAGCACTTAAATTATATTTTATTCGAAAAGCTCTTTATTTGTAACCAAATCTCAAATAGACTGTTTTAAAATCAAAGACCAACCTACAATCTTTAAAAGAACAATTAGGGAATGTGAAATCACACAACTTTAGTCATCAGATAAAAAGAAACAAAATAGGGTGAAACATTATGAATTTTCTCTATATTCGCGTGACTTAGTTTCGATTGCTATTTGTTCTATGTACGAATATACGTACCTACTACATACAGAATTTTCTAACTGAAAAATGAATGACAAATCGCCAGAAAGATGGAGTACGGCCATGCAAAATAATGGTCATGTACACGATTAATATAAAAACAAACATTCTTTATCGCAGGTGGAATATGGTCTATGAAAAACGACAGAACTTTCCGACAAACCAATACATATATCATTTGCTATGTACACTGCGTGTACAAGAGTACGAGATACAATGCTCTCTGGCAATAAAAATCCACGTGTTGCTACAAGAAAAACGGATGCTTTCCTAACAAATTATCTTTGTTGCTATATTTGTACCAGAATTGAGACGACACCACGATTTCAAAGAACTGTTAATCGTGGTATACGATATGGTTTCCGCAGTATTTTATTGCTTGTTGCGCGAAGTACTTCCGCGTGGTTTGTGTATTATTCAAGCTATTTGAGCTTTTACAACACGTATGCTATCGTGAACGCGACGAGAACGATCGACAGCTGTATTCGAATCAACGCTTGTCCATTTGGTAGGAACAAGAAAGGCAAGCACAAAGGGAGGAGACGGGATGAGAGAGTAACGAAGTGGACAGACGAGTCCTGATGAGGATCAAAGAGTAAATGGTCGATAACCTATTGACCCAGATAAGACCGATGGTTATTGATTAGTCACCCCGCCTGTTTGTCCCAGAGCCGTCAAATACAAATCTCTCTCTTCCCTATTCTCCTTGCTTCGTTTTCGATTTTGTTCTGCGTTGTATTCTTACCGTGAAGATTCCTACCGTCCTCCCTGCTTCCTTTTCCCGTATAGTCTAGCAACGAAATTGGATTTATGGCTTTATTTTCCCCCTTCGCGGACAATATCTACCGCAGTTTGCTCGACGTGGAGCGCGACTCTCGGTATTATAGTGAAATAATGGACCCCTTGCGACCCTTTCATGTCGTCCGCGTAGAAAAAAAGAGCCACCGAGCGAAACCTGACCGAAGGTTTAATAGGCTTCAAACATGACGAAACAAATTTTCCGGTAGAACTACGCGAGGCCAACCTGATGATTTCAGTTTCTTTTTGCTCATCAGTTTACCAGAATGACGGAGATTTCCAGCTTTATGAGCGAGGGAAAGTTTCGGGCGCCTATGACGTATGCAAGTTCAAAGTGCGTTGATTTCGAAGTAATTAACGAAACGCTCCATAAAGTAAGCACTTGCGTAGAGTAGTGTTTCTCAAACTTTACCTTTCCGTGGACCCTCTCAATAAAAAACATTTCACGAACGCACTTCAGTACGGCTAAATTAAAGTGATTTTTGCTCTTGCGACTGTATCAAATAATCTGGATAAGGAATTTGTGTATTATTTAGTTCGATCAAGTAAACGGAATTAAATTACCCTAACTCAAACTGTATGTAATATGTATTATGTATCTCGATGAATTATAGAGCAAAAATATTTCGATGATTTTTAAATACATCGTAGAAATTAACATTTTAAATAATTTTGAAAATATTATTTGACGTAAAATGTAAATTAGTAACTATACGTGGTTTGGATGTTTTATAATAAATTTCCATTTGAATTTGATATTAATGAAGATCTCTGTTTGAGTCATTATTATACCCGACTGTAACAGCGCCGTTTAGAGTAATATCAAAATTACATTAGGTCGTCATTAACAACAGGGACTGGGAGATATTTGTACTTAGTCATAAATGAGAAGTGATTAAGAACGTTCTGCATAGCTCGACAAAACTGCTCGGAGGAAATAATTGAACTCGAATCAATTCATCCTCCAATAAAATTCATTCAGAGCTGCTAGGGTCTCTTGAAACTTGATTAAGAATCGATTCCGTTTTTTTCATCGAATAACACAAAACCATGAAGTAATGTATTGTACAGTGCCATAGAAATATTCTAATTAAACAGGAAGTAAATAGGTGCAATGCTATATAGTACATAATCAATTATGGAAAAAGTAATATAAACAATATACATATATATAATTTTGGAAAAATTTTTCAAGTATTACATTAACGAAGACCAATACTTGTAAGATACATAACATTTTAGAATTAAAATTACATTGTTAATAATGTTATTTTAATAGTTAAAAACAATATTTTAATTTTGCGCATAATAAGAGGTTAGGTACCTCCTAAAAAGAAAAAGAACAACTGTACTTTGTGACTGCATTTATGCAATTAATTTTAAATATAAACCGTTTTGAAGATGCAGAACGTTCCACTTTCATGGAACACCCTATATATGAGTAAAACACGTGAAACGTAAAAAACGAAAACTTTAAAAAATATGCATGATATCAAATTACTTTAATAGGTTATTCAGTTAAAGTATTTCAGGGCGCATTTTTGCTACTTTCAAATGAAGGTGTTACGAATATTTCAAGGTCTCTGAAGGGGACATTTAATTATTGAATTTTAACTAGAAACTAAATTTCGTAGTTTACCATATTAATGTTTACTTTAAATGTAATACATTTGATCTTGTCCAAAGAGTAATGAGAATATGGGATGCCATTGGCATGCAAACAAATGTTCGAGAATATTCAGAATGTACACCACCATTAACACAAAAATATTGGACTACTTATCAATGTAACATTTACGAACTGCAAATATTATTTTTCCAATTAAGAATTTCCATGAATCACTGGTAACTTTAAATAAATTCGAGCATATTTGAAAATTATACACCACGAGTTCGCTACCAAAGTGAAGAAGTATGTCACTGACAGAATTTCGATAATCGAATTGTACAGTATTATCGATTGATTCATGATTCGATACAAGTTAAAAGCACTCTGTCGGCCAACTTCGTAAAAGCGGGACAAACTATTTCCCGCGCTCTCTTTATCACCTGTTGCGTTTGACGTTTCTGTATTGTGTACAATTTCTTTTAATTACGTTACAAATATTGTGCAATTTAAGTGATAGTGTAAAATATTCAATAACTTCTCGATTTTGGCTTCTGTTATAGACGTGAGTACCAATATTATTGTAAATATAATTTTACTTTCAATCGCATTGACTGATGAAGCAACCTTAACCTCAAACGCCGCACGTGCCGGTTGCTATGATTTCAAATGTTTGCGCTTGACAATTTTATTAAGTTATTGTTTAAATTGAATCATTGTTATAGTGTACCTACTAAATATTTTGTTTCGTTTTAAATAATAGGCGAGTTTCATAAATCTTTAAATATCTATATTCGTGAAATTGTATTTGTACTATTATTTTAGTAAGATTATTATATTGCAGGTAATCTAAAAAATTATTCATACTAATGATAATTAAAATTTTATAAAGCTACATTGCATATTAAGTAGTTTATATTTTACATAAAGTAGCAATGTCCAATTATCTTTCTACTGAGCTTACAGCTACATGTGCTGCGCTTGGTTATTATGATGGGAGTAAATATCACTTAGATAAATATTGCTTAGGTGAGGTTATTTATTATATATTATGAACATGAAGTATTTCATACATTAAACATTTATAAATTGTTTGATTGTAAACTGTTTAATCAATTGTTTGGTATTGATATTTCCATTTTAATTGTAGAGGTCATAAAAGACCTAATTAGGTATTTAAGAAGAGATGATGATAGTCATACTGTGCGTCAGTTTCTTTATCAATCAAAAGTACTTGAAACTGATCTTATTAAAATTTTTATCGAGCATACCGACAAACTTGAACTTTGGGATGTATTATTGAGGCAAGTAATAACTTGTACAGATTTAGAATGTATTTCTTTTTTATTCCATAAAAATTATTTTCTAAATAAATAGGTTGATCATTAATTTAACAAGTCCAATTTTCTTTATTTATAATGAGCGTGTGCCCATTGATAAATTGGAACGTACTACATATCAGAAACTTATTTCATATACTCAAGCATACAAAATAGCATTCACTGATGAACGTGTATGGACAACCTTAAGCAATCGCTTGAGTAAAATTCTTAAATTAGTAAGTTTTTAGTACACATAATACCTAACTGGTATGTATGTATTATTTCCTGTTTTTTTTTATTTATGTAGGATAATATAGAAAGAGGAGAGGAAGATAATATGGTTATTGAAAGAATCCTCGTTTTCATTAGAAACATATTACAAATTCCTCCTGATGAAAACGAGAAACGTGTTGATACAGATGTTACAGTTCATGATCAGGTATAGCGTTGGATATAGTATGCTATTATTCATAAAAGAAAATTATTTTTATATTTGTCTTTAGGTTTTATTTGCTCTTAATGCATCAGGAATTGTTGATTTGTTACTGTTTATTGCTAGTAATACTAGTGAACAAAATTACCACTTACAAGTAGTAGAGGTAGGTGGGGAATAAACGGATATTAATATTTTTTATTCTAATCAAAATTTGAACACGCTCGATCATTTTTAACATATTATTCCTTGTTTGGTTTATCGATTTAGCTCGTAATAAATTGTTTTAAAAATTTTTATTTTACAATGGAATTCAGTCTAATCATCGTCAATTTTTATCATATTGACTAAAAATAGTTTGTTTCAAATGTAATGTTTTTATTTTCTCAATATATGACACGAACGGAGTTGGTTTTTATAAATTATATAAAATCGTGCTAGATTATATCGTTAATGCTACGCGACCAGAGTGCAAGTCTGTTAGCAACATCTGGTTTGCAACGTAGTACAACAGAAAAAGAAAGAGACGAGGCAGTACTCTTAGCTGCTCGACAAAAAGAGAGGCAACAGAAAATGGATAGAATAAGAAAATATGCAGGAGTTCGGTAAGTTCAATAATTATCTAAGTATCTTTCACATATTTTTTCGTTGCTTAAATTTAAACACATGGAAAATATTTTTTGCTCTTTGTGTATTTTGAATGAAATCATTATGTTGCGTGAAAGAAGGAATAGCAGTCGAATCTCGATACTTGTGGAAAAACAGGGCTGAACATTTTTGCAAGTGTTGGATAATAACGTAATATTCATTTAACTTTTTTAAGTGTAAATTTTAAATGTACATTTTTATTAGTTTAGAGCAACTCTAATTATTCGTAGTTGCGTGTATACCACTTAATTTCAATTGTACACTGAACACATACTTATACACGGCTTTTTACGTATCGTACACCAGGGACATATTTACCCTGGACCAACGAGCATGTTCCGCTTTAACGTGCAAAATATAAATTCGGATATGTACATACGCGTAAAAGAAGAAATAAATAATTGTACTGCATTTCTTGGAAAAGTAACAGTAGCATTCAGATGGTGGTAGTATTTTATTTGTAATGAATATGACCTAAATTTTAAGTCCACGCACTGTTTGAATGGAAGCTTTTATCCACTTGTCCGAAAGAACTCATGTTTTATGCTTGTACTATACATTATTCGAATCTTTTTGCTACGCGCAGCTATTCCCCGTAAAAAGCTTTTTGTATCTTGAAAGAGGATCAAAAGCACTAAAAAGATCAACCTTTTTGCGCTCAACTCATAAACCAGTCTATGAACTACTCCAACGGAAAATGACATCAGGGGCAAGAACCAGTCTAGGGTTTGAGGTCCGATGGTTTAAAAATAAAAAGATGAAAGGACCTTATTTAATCTTGCTTCTCATATGAATTTGTTTAAAATTTTTAATATTTGTAAATCTCTGTGACTATCATCAATCCCTGTTGGTAATTTTCTCTTAAGTTTATAGAATATACTTGGTTATAAATTAGTTCGAGATTTGAATTTATTATAGTTTCGATGTAGTTCGCATAAACGATCAATCGTTCAGAGATAATCTAAATAAGATATTAACAACGGAGTTCTTGCGAAGGAAAATTCTAGGCAAGAAACTGCGCCCTCGACGTTTGGCAGACTGCTAGTGACAGCCTTCTTCTATTCCATTGATTGGATTTTCAGAAGTCATGGATGAAATTGGATTTGAATGATCAGTTCTTTTTCAATTACTAGCAAGTACATTCTCTATGCATACTGATTTGGATATATACGAATATTGAAAATTTAATCTTCTTAGCCTTTTTACTTTGAATTTTCACCCGTGAATTCATTTCCTTGCGCGAAAGATTTTTATTTCCAAGAAACGGTTTCGATGGCAGAATATTTTCTTTTATAAAATTATTTATTTTCATAATTCTCGATAGTTAAATCATTCAACAGAGATTTAGTTCGTTAAATGTTTTCTTGAATTTTTGTATGAGATAGTACATTTTAAACATAAATATCTGTATTTGTGCATAGAATATTTTCTACAATTTTTAAACGTGTGTTTATTTTTTAAAAAATAAGTATCAACAATATCTCAAATATCTATCTGATTCTACATTCTCTAAACTTAATATTCACTTTGTGTTTTCTATTATTACAAATAATACAGCAGTTCTGGATTCTAGTTTAACGATTTCTAAATCGAGGCGGGAATCAAGTTTCGCGCTCTAGGATAGTGTTACAGCTTTAATTAAATTAATATGTTTAGGCATTCACGTTTTGGAGGTACTTACGTCGTTCAGAATATGAAAGCCATCGGAGATAATCAACTGATATGTCACAAACCGTACCAGAAGATCGAGTCATTAAGTTTCGGCCAAGAGAAGGTAATTAATATGAAAACACATCCTTTTTTTGTTCCATTTACCTACTTATTTCGTCGAGATGAATGATGCAAAGTGTTAGGTCAGAAAACGATTCATTCGATTAATCTTTGGTTTCCGACGGCAGTCCTCGTAATGAGTATCTGGGAATGGGCGGTAGGTGGATTTGAATGAAAATACGGCTGTTAATTAGGGCTATTTTCGCGTAATTAGAACCGGCTCCGTGCTTAATGGCGCTGAAGCATTTAAAACTAGGTCAACGTTCTTTTCGTGGATATTTCTCCTTTTCCACTGTCTTCTATGTTCAGCTCGACTGCGAAGAGATCCTTTTCTCCCTTATACCGTTATTACCGTCTTCTCCTTAGAACATCCGTATTTGAGGACAGAGAAACTTTTCCTAGCTTGCTTCTACGTAGCTCGTTTCATTATGGACCGTCATAAATCTACCGAGTCACATGCCTGTCGGCTATTTGAATTGAAGTGATTACTGACTCCCGTTGTATCCTTTATGGAATTTGACCCTCCTTGTTTCCTCTTTTATCTTCTCACGGAATTGTTACGCAAACGAATGAAATGGGTCATTCTTCTGCAAACGTTATACTATTCAGGACATTTCTTGAGCTACGTTGGAAAGAATTTTCACAAATCGCGAATCTTAAAACTTCTATACATCCGAAAGATGGTTTACAAAACGATACATGCAATCATAATTACTGTTTCGTGCACAAATTAAGTATCTGGGTATTTGTAATATTTGAAAAGTCTGTCGTGGACTATAAATCCTTATTACTCGAATAACAATACGTATTCGAAGTTCTTTTGTGGCGAAATATTTGAATAGATCGAGCCCTGGTAGCATTAATGCAGAACTAAATGCTTCTAATTTACGACCGTTATATTTTTACTTCCTGCGGCGTAATTGATAGTGCGCTAAATCTTTGCTTTATGACCACTAGTGCATGTTCTTAAAGCGAACTGTGTATTATATAAATGTTCTTGATTATGATTCATGAACTCCGTTCGTAAATAGAACTTTTTTTTGACGATGCATTATCAGCTTCCATTCGATGTTGTCCCTATTGGCAGAACTGCGCGCGACAATTGGATTTTATTCATGAATGAAAATTCCTAAAGCACTTGTTCTACTTATGCCACTTTTTCGCTCTAGTTGTCGCATATTCGTATGCGGGCCCTGAGAAACCTGCATCCATCGCGGTAACTGTATTTGTTCGCTCGCGACGGTCTTGATTTTGTCGTACTTTTTAACATCTGCGTTACTGGGTCGTCGAAAATGCTTTATAGTCTTTGGCCTCGCATGAACCGAAGGACAGACCTCAATTGCAAATATTATATTGCATTTTATAACGTGATTTTTCTCATTATTTTATTTGTGAAATGTATTCTGGAAATATTTTGCTTATCAGCATTTATCACAAACGTGTAAAATTCTCAGTCCAATAATAACTCACAACCAAAAATTAGAATCGAGTGGTCTGTTTACTTTAAGTGCACCAATCCCTCATGGGCTGCAAAGTTTCATTCAGTTATTGCCAAAGTACTGCGAGGAAAGTTCCAATATTTTGTTGGTTTGAAAGCAAACTGTGATCCGTTGATTAAACGAAGTTATTGACTTATTTGTCCAAAAGTGATCTTTTTTATTCTGTCTGTGTGCCGCCCAATCAGCGTTTCTCTTACGCTACGCATAGGGTTCTACTACCTACCTAAAGTGAGCAACAAAAATATTCGGACAGTAGGATATGTTTGTCTCTATTTCGATATAACGTAATTATTATTGCATGAAATATGTTCGTTCTTTTTTCTTTAAATAATTTAATGCACCACAACGTGTGATTCCATGTTGATAGTAAAAGACAATTTATTACGCGTTATCAATTTATTCTCGTAATAATATTATCCTAATTAAATGTAGACCAAAGTAATGAGACCAAAAAATAGACGACCAATGTCAGACCCAAGGGGTGAGCGTACATCCACTCTAAGCGTAAGACTGTTCTTGAAAGAATTCTGCGTGGAATTTTTGAATGCTGCTTATAATCCCGTAATGAGATATGTAAGACATTGCATCGGTGGAAATCAAGTCGAACCAATCGAAACGACTTGCTATCTTTGGGCTTTGCGTTTCTTCATGGAGTTCAATCGCCATTACAAGTTCGAGGTAAAATATGTGAGGTGAGTCGCCGTAACTTCTCCATTTTTTTTTCGATAGAAAAAGGTTCATCTTCGTAGAGTAGATGTTAAAGGAAGCAAAGGGAGATAGTTTTCAAACTCGTTTTACGCATCGTCGCTTTCTTTAGATTCGTGTCCAAAGGGACCATTCTCTAAGTACTCTCAGTACACGTTTTATATACCTTGAGTTAAATAATATCTATCGACAAGATTTAAATAATTTATTCGTAATGCAACATCTTTACTTTACATCGCGATAAAATACTACTCTGCAGCGAAACAATATCTACGGAAGTATTTCACGTGGTGCAAAGACAGATGGAACAATACTATGAGATGATGATGACCGATAAAAAAAGAATACCAGTTTGGTCGTATAGATTACATCTAGCATTAAAAGCGTATCAGGTGAGAAACACGATTGCCGATATTCGCTTTTGTGCGATCGGTGAAAGGAAATACGTGTTTTTACTCTTTCAGGAACTTCTGCACACTTTAATGGCGATGGATCAAAGCAAGGATCACGGTGTTAGAGAATCCAGTAAAGTCATTAAGAGCAACATATTTTACGTTCCAGAATATCGAGAAACGATTCTTTCTCAGCTTCTCGGTTTCGACGAACTTAAAATGTCACGGTTTGTATAACATGACTTGTTATAATGAGTACAAAAACTATTTAAAGCAGGCTAAGCGAAGAATTTACTAAATTAGAACGGTACTAATGTAATAATAAGGGTAGTAATCCCTCGCAAGTTACAACTCGGACGGGACTGACTTGTTGCAACTTCCAAGGGAAGTAGACAAAACTAATCGCTTTGATTATTCCGGTTCGCTAGTTGTTGTTTACATTGGGGACGTTAGAGAGAAACAGTGAAAGTGAGTTAACATTTAATTGTCGGGTGCGTTTCGTACCCATGTCTGCTTTGTCTGGGAACGATGAAATATCTTACGAGGAACTAAGAGCACACAATAAAATGTTCTTTCAAAAGTAATTTTTTATGGGCAAGGAAATTAATTTTCACACAGTAGTGGCAGAATCTTCAAGTTAATTTCTTAAAATGGAACTCTATATTTCTTTATTCATGATCTAGTAGCTTTCCTTGAGACAAATTTAGCGACCTGCCGCGGAAAGTCATTTCATTTTATGGAATGTCGTAAAATCGTTAAGGACCGGGGAGTCGAGTGAACGCGTGTTGCACGCCTTTGGTCAGCTAAACCCTACTTAACCGCGCTGCTAATAAAAACCAGACCACTCAATTGTTAGAAAAATTCTCCCCCATAAAGAACTTTCTATTAAGGTTCAGAAACTTCCGTTGACAATAAACTCGAAGGTAGATTACGAATTTTCCACTACAGCTGAAGAGTTAGTTTAGCTCACGTCTTCAGAAAATCAAGAACGAGTTCAGAAAATAAAATAATAAAATTATTTTATTTCACTCGTTGATGTGATAATATTTGTGTACTGTTATAACACTCTTGGAAGAACATTTTTTTCATTTTTCCAGTTCTCTGTTCCAGAAAGTGGTAGAATAACTTCATTGCAACTTGAACAGGGACGTATGTCATCCAAGTTCATATTTTTGTAGCAATTTCTATATATTATGTATATTAACATAGATGTATTTATCAAAACGTAAGAGTTGAAGTACGAAAGCTTGTTGATCAACGTCAGTTTTCAAATATTTTCAGTCAACGGGTATCGATTATTTCGATTAAATTGCCAAGTTTTTCATCAACTTCGCAGACGTTACTTTGACACGTATACTAGTACAGCTTGTTATTAATCAAAGATATAACTCGCAGTAACTAAAATTGCACGACAGTTGCACTTTGGTGAAAGTAATTAATAAGTTTCAAGCGGCTCGTGGAGTACGAAGACGGTAACAAAATTGAGTTTTCAAAGTGCAGTGACCGAACGTCAGAGCCCCGTCTCTCAGTTATTGAAAATTAAAAAATCCCCAAATTGAAAGCATCGCTCTTAAACGTACTATGACATATTTCTGGCGCGTAGGCAACGTAAGGTAATCACCGCGAAAGGTTTCGTGTCCAACTATTGTCCCCTGGTTCGAGCATCTGCTTATCGAACGGATAATAGTGGAAAATGAAAAACTATTTGTTAAAAGTTTTATACATCGCGGACAGATTGATTCAGTTTCAAATCAATCGGTTTGAACAACGTGCCAGCTACCTAGCAGCATCTTCCTCGGTTCTTTAATGCTTCTCCTTTTCCTTTTGCATTTTTCCCTCTTGTCTGGTTCCTCTCTCTTCTTTTGCGCTTCTTGGTGGAATAAACAACTTTTATCGACCTTCCGGCTGGCGAAATGGGAAAAGGCGGCGGGCGTTCAACTTTCCGCGAGTTTGACGGGTTTTGCAAGGATTTCCACTACGGAAATGTAAGGCCGGTGCACCGCGCCGCGATATCGTTGCTACTGTGACATCTTAGTGACGGTGACGAAAACAGGACTTGACGGGTGCACTAAAGTTCGCTGGTGATGTTACCATTTTGAAACTGTATATATGTCAGGACTGTATTAATTCTCTGACAAGCATTGTTCGATACGAAACGACTTTCGGACTTCTAAAGAGATTCTATAGATCAATAGAATTGTTTCAGTTTCTTTCTGTACACGAATTCTGTGGCAAACATCGTTGTCTGTACTTTTGCAGACAATATTTGGCCGATCTCATCACAACGGTGCACATCTTTTTGAAAATGTTGGGTGTTTATTGTGGAAGAAATGCTCGTAACATAATGATTCAGAAAGCGAAGCATAGATCACGCAAAAGGGGAAATAAAAAAAGTAAGAATCAGTGTTTTTTTCGTGCGTCAAATGATAATCGAGAATATCAGTACATTTTTTAATCTCAAACGTGAATAGAAACTGTACAGAAAGAGCAACCGACTCCTCAAAGTGCAGAGGATCGATGGGTTAATATTGGCCCTCAGTTATCTGCAGTAATGCGAGACGGGACAATACCGGAAGTTGTACCATTTGATGCGACATTGGATGTTCCGATAGACGATCAAAAGTAAGAGTTCAGCTTGTTACAGTAAATTCTGACTTAATTGACAAGCCAAACTTCGAAACGGGAAATATGTTCGATGTTTTTTCATTTTTAGAGTCGATGCTGTGAAGAAAATTCAAAAACTACTGCGGACGAAGGATTTCGAACAAGCTATTGGCCTTATTCGTTCAGCGAGGTAAGAATACTGTTTATTTTGAAAATTCAATTTACAGAAGCTTGCTTTTATCTCGAAGTGTTCGGTACCTCCGGTAATGAAGCTGATGCCTACAAAGATGGCATAGTATTTATTTTGAAAATAACATCTAAGAGCAAGGTGATGCATTGTTGTGTAAGAGGCATGGTTAACGAGTAGCATTCTCCTTTGAACTACGGACTTGTTTGTAATGTCGATTGTCACTTGAAACGGGTCCTTTGTCGTTTGTAACAAACCAGCTATTGCTTTTTAATGACGAATGGATAAATGTTGTTTTACAAACTGTTTGATAAACTGTACATAATTCATTTATGGCTTTAAAATACGTAGTATTTTAGGTTTTGATAAGTCTTGTATTTACATATGTTTATGCTCTGTTATCGTTGTCCTCAGAAATTTTATAGATAGTTGAAATGTTCTCGATTGGTGAAATATTGAAAAAGCTTTAAAAAGCATTCTATGATACTTATGTTTGACCGGTATGCGTCTTTCATATCTAAATCGATATGGATGGAAAGCAATTTTTCTCGCTGGTTAGTAGATATGAATGCTTGGAGTTAAAGGTGTCGTTTGCGCAGAGCTGTGAATGCAACCCTCGATGATGAAAATAGTACTCGGGTTAATGACAGGTTATACATGGATGAATACCTTCGTATTTGATTCGATGCGGGCCAGCAAACGTTTAATTGCTGATTTATGTGCTATAATTCATCGCGGAAAGTGTTTCAAACGTATTCAGTGAACCACCGTTCGCTCTTTTCTTTTGTTACCGATCTCTGCCTCTTTTGCGGTCGAGTGGAATACGCGTCAACGATAAAAGCTGAACGGTTCGGAGTAACTGCGCCCCTGTATAGACGGTTTGTAAAAGCTTCCGTTTTACCAAACAAAGAAATGTAGGTGAAGAAATATATTAAAAAGCGAACGTACGATCAATGTACTTTTGTGCGTTAAATGTACCTTAACTGCGTTCAAATTGTGTATCAGGATGAAATTAAAGAAACTATAGCATTTATATATTAAAAATATGTAGCAGATCGCATATTCATTAAGAGTTTTCGAACAGTTATTCCATTCATACAGACAGTCAATGAAGTCGCACGGTCGATAGAGGCAGCATAACCAATCGCGTACCAAACTTCAATTAAAATATTGACGGTGACTCGTTTGAAAGCAAGGAATCGAACGTTCAGAAGTGAAAGTTTCTCGTTACTGCCGCTCGCACATTTAAGTGCACTGTTTGCATCTAATTATACAGTGACTGGTCTATTTTGTCGGAACATTCGGCAGTTTTTTTTTAGGGTTCGATTTCGTCGGGAACATGGAGCCAATTAATTAACCGATAGCCAAGTGTTTACACGTCCATCGGTATTTACGTTGCATTAAAGTTGAAAGAGATACGTCGTTCTTGTAATGTATCCAATGTTCATTTCAATGATCCTTTAGTAGCACTGAACTTTGTCCCTTTGAAGCGTTCCACGGCTAAATATACCCACGAGTCTTTTCTCTCCGCCAAGTTGTTTCTCTGTTCCACCCCATCGGTCCTTTTGCCTGATAGTTTGACTTGTCACTTCGATGGTTTCGTGGGGGGGGGGGCGGTATATTTTGGAGATGAACCCGTCGATGCGAGAATGAGCTCTTTGTACTCGGTTTACCTTCAAAACTCCTTCAACACGAGAAATTATACCGCACCGAGCACGCTTTTCGTTTCGTTATTCCTTGTCAAATATTAATACCCTTTATTGGGCTGATTTTGTACAGGATGTTTACTTTAAGAAATGTTACTTAAGCAGTATTGTTTTGATTGTGAGCTTTCCTTCAAAATGGTTATCATATTTATTTAATTTGTCACCAAATTATCTTACGATCAGAAATTATTTTGAGGTTTGAACAATCACGATTTGAGAATTGAACATTTTGTATCGGTACTATATCGGTAATCTACTAAGGAAGATACCGCGTAAATTAATAAATTTTCGCCGGTGTTTGCAAACGGTTCAAGGGCGCTAAAGTAATATTGCCAAAACAAAAAACCGTTTCATCGTGGCCACTCTTTCCCGTAAAGCTGGAGAGTTATAGCTTCTCCTGCAGATTTTTCTTTAGGCAGTATCCTCATTACAGTACTTCTACGGGGTACTTTAGTAGATTGTTCGTAATATTCCATCGTCCATTTCATGGGGTAAGCTTTGCCATGGCCGGTACACAATGGAGGCATCTGCTTCGTCCCGACCTTGTGCATATAACAGGATAAAAGGAAGCAGCAGACTGTTGACTGCGGCTCATATAGTGGTAGGTTCAAAGTAGGGGATATTAATAACACATTTATGGTAATCCGATAATATTACGGTAAACAATGTAATGCTTTGAATTCCCTTTTCCCCGAAACTTCCCCCCCCCATGTATATGTATAGAACGTACACCGTGCTTTCGAGGAGAGAGTCAGCCTCTGATGATCGCGTTTCGTTTGTTTAGCAAATACTCCAATCGCTCGGATATAAACCCAAACCTCTCTGTTTAGTTCTGTAAAGTGTGCTGACTTCGATGCAGGCTTAAATAACTCAGAGTCAACGGGGTAATTAAGGGGTTGAAGTTCAGCGTTTGCTTCGATGCGTGTTCAAGAAAATCTTATTTGTGACAAAAAAATTACAAGCTTCCTATCCGATAAAGACACGGAGGGTGAACTTGTTCGTGCAACCTTTGTTGCGTTCTGATGGAAATATGCACAGTTTCGTTATTTTTATAGTTTCCTGTTACGAATTTGTATCGTTTCAGTAATATAGGTCGACGTGTACGATCGATGAGTCTAGATTTCCAACTAAAAGATGAACTCAGTCTTGAATATCTTTCCGATGTCAAGGGCGAGAATCGACGCGTCGAAATTATTCGTTCCGTGTTTAGCAAAAGAGCTAGTTCGAGCGTCGGGATTGGAGGGTCGGTTGAGGCGCGTCTGAGAGATTCCATTGTCGCGGGACTTCAAATCGAGGGATAATGGGGATTGTATGGTGCTGGATTTCTATTCAGACAGCCACCAGTAGCGGCCCCGTACGAGCCACTTCTTCTGCCCCGGGGACAGCACGTACCCTCCCTTTTCCCCGTGCTCCCCTTCTTCTGTACCTCCACCCTTCTGCCACCCGCTTATTGGATTCTTCCTTCAATTCAGGGATTTTGCACTTTCGGAACTAGCCAGACTTTCCTGACCTGCGACCTGACAAACTCCATACACGGATTAGGTGTCTTCTCTCTGTGTACGGAGGACGAATGGCGTCTTATGGCGATACGTTTTTTTACAATATAATGTCGTGTTCGTAAATATTGTTGCTCAAAAAGGTTACTTTGATACCGACAAAATATTTAAAGAAACTGTCATTGCACATATAATAAATAAACAATTTTCTTTGGGAATTAATAAACGTTAAATAACAAGTTTTTGAAGTATTAAAATAAAAGTGATTTAATATTGTTTATAGAACGTATTCAGCTTTTGTTGTAGATTGAAAACTTGGAGAGTTCTAGATCTGAAATCGTTGTAAAGCTTCTCTCTGTCCTCGATGATCACGCGTTTAATTATATCGCGACGGTTTACGTTCTTTGCGGAGTATAATCGGGAAAATAGCACTCGAATATAAATCCAAGTTCATCTAGAAAATGGAGACTCTCTGTATGGACGTAACGTCGTCCTCGTGTTCAATCACGTTTCACCGTCCTGGCACTCTCTTTGAAGCTCTCTACCTTTCAGAATATTTCTACGTGCTGCAGTTTTTTAATGAAAATTCAAGGCAGGCTGAGACTTCCTGAAAAGCTGGCCCACCATCTAGCACAGTGTTAGGAATCGTCCACCATTAACTACACTCTTTTTCATGAGTGCTCCGCCAAGGTGATGACGTGATTTTACCTTTGTCCTCTGGTCACGTACACCGACTTTCTCCTGTTCGTGATACTTTTGGATTCTCGCAGGGAATAGAAGTTTCGTGAAACAGGTCGGTTCTTCTCGGATCTTATGAAATTGCAAAAGGTTTTGCGAAAGGAAAGGCTCACGCGAAGCAATCAATAATTCTGCCTTGCACCGAGGTCTCCCGATAAAGTTTCCAGAATCATTTTGTTTCTATTGTTAGTTGCAATAACATTGTCAGTTATTTTAGTCATTGTAAAATTGAAGATCTTTTTCAAAGCTCCTAAATATACGTGCAATGACATTTTACGTATTTTCCATTACGATTCAATATGATAATGTGGCCCGAGGATTAGAGTAAGAGAGTCCCTTCAATTCACATTCTGTAACAATTGAATAACGTCGAGGTTATCGTAGCATCTCGTACTTTTTTCCTTGTATTCTCTTCCGAGTCTGAGTCCATTAGCGATAGCCATTGAAAACATTAGCATACTTTTTCGTGAATTGCAGAAATTAAGATTAGCATTGGATGGGAAGCATCGATGAGGAACTCGCTCCCCCGGAGACCGGTGTCGGAAATAAATTCGATGAAACTTAAGTGGTTCGCGAAGCAGCTGTGCCCCCGTCTACTCGCGAATCTTTCTTCTGACGCTCTTTGCATCCATTCCCTTCGCGCGAGGCTGACTTCAACATCTTCTACATTTAGGTGCTTTAGAACGTGGGCGTTTTGCGAACGTTGTGCGTGGGCGTTAGCTATGTAGACGGTTGGCTAAAGGCACACGGAAGAATGGAAGGTTGCGGTGTGAACCCTTGACGCGAGCAGTTGGATGTTGATGTAGATCGTGGTGAAACTCTCATGCTCAAGGGAGCATTCTACGAAAGCTATTCAGATTGCCACTCTGACCTCTCCTTCTGTTTCCCATTTATCCGTTCGTTGTTCTTCCTCGTTTCTCTTCTGTATTTGGTTACGTACGCTACTCAAGATAATAACACGCACCATTAATTTGGGTAGCTTTGTTTAATCGGACTAATCCCGTTTTATTATACGTAACCCAATTTTTCAAGCAGACTTGTGGCTGCTGAATATTCTACACCCTCTGTATTCAAAGTGTTTTCGAGTCATTTCCACGATTTGTCTGTATTATATTTTAGTTAGAAATAAAAATAATAGTGCATAGGAGTTCTTGATGTTGCTTTGAAGAATTTGTACGAAGGAAAAAGTGGAGTGGTGTTCAGGCCAACGAACGAGATGCTAGAGCCTAAATATAATTTTCATGTCAAGAGGTGTTTCCCCAGTTTCGTTATTTTGTTTTCTTGCCTCAAGAACATAATGAAGTACGCAATTACGTAGGCCACTTCACGTAATCATTACTTTGTTATTACCTGAACCACTTGACCTCGTATACAGCTCATATTTGCAGAATGCACGATTCTGCCAGAGAAGTAGACATGATCTAACAGTCACATTATAGTACCTTCTCGATGTTTGGGCTTGTAGTGCTGGCAATATTTGCATGCCCCTCATACATATTTACACTCCATTCATTATCATACTGATTAAATTTTAATTACTTATCGGTCCATGAATAAGTATCGTTTTGTCTGCTTTATTTGATAGACGGTGGAAAATCGTTGGATCCATGCATTTTTCACGCGTAGAATTAGTATTATAGAAATAACGTTAATATTTAAATATATTTTATAATTTATTTTCAAAGAAACGTGAAAATTTATAACAGACGATGAGGATTTTTAAATTTTTGTAATTTCTGTAATCATTTTGCAGAGATGTCTGGCCTGAAAACGATTCTTTCGGAAAAGCAGACAGTACTCCTGAAGAAGAATTCGCGACGCTACGAGAAATCTTCTTTGCAGATTTGGGTGGTGAGTACTTTTTCACAATGGTTTATTTTCATATACAGGATGTATTTTAAACAAATTTCTTAATGGCATCTTTCTGTATACGAGGGCGGTCCGATAAGTACTTAGCCTCACCACCCGATGGTCGCCACGATGGCAAGAGAAATTTACTATCGTGTAGTACATTCTTGTAGACAGTTACTGTCAAAATTTCAGCCGAATCGGACTCGTAGTTTTGTTTTGACCGCGTGTGGAAGCGGGTATGTCCGCGTATTTTAGAAAAATGGAAAAAGAGCAATATCGGTCGGTGATTCGATTCTTGTTTTTGGAAGGGAAATAGCGCAGCGAAATCAAAGAGCGCTTGGATGCTGTGTACGGTGACTCTTCTCCTTCGATGGCGACCGTCAAAAATTGGTTTAACGAGTTTCAACGTGGTCGCACGTCAGTTTTTGATGAGCCACGTCCAGGTGCCCCGAAAACGGCTACCACGGAGGATAACGTGAAAAAAATTCACGATCTCGTATTGGCAGACCGACGATTGAAGGTGCGCGAGATAGCTGAGACAGTAGGCATCTCAAAAGACCGCGTGGGTCATATCCTGCATGAAATATTGGGCATGAGAAAGCTGTCGGCGCGATGGGTGCCGCGTTTGCTTACTCCGGACAACAAGCGCAACCGTGAGACCACTTCAGAGCAGTGTTTGATGCTGTTTAGGCGCAATCCGAAGGAGTTTCTGCGTCGTTTCGTGACCGTCGATGAAACATGGATCCAGTGGTACACACCAGAGACCAAGGAACAGTCGAAACAGTGGACTTCACCCGGCGAACGTGCTCCGAAGAAGGCGAAGACTGTCCTATCGGCCGGAAAGGTAATGGCCACCGTTTTTTGGGATTCAAAAGGTGTGATCTACATCGACTACCTGGACAAGGGCAAAACGATCACAGGGCTCTACTATGCCGGATTATTGGGCCGATTCGACGCCGAATTGCAGGAAAAACGGCCCCATTTGGTGAAGAAAAAAGTGCTCTTCCACCATGACAACGCACTGGCTCACACCTCCGCTGTCGCCAAGGCCAAATTGGTCGAATTAGGCTACGAACTGCTGCCTCATCCACCGTATTCTCCAGATTTGGCCCCGTGCGACTTCTTTTTGTTTCCAAACTTGAAAAAGTGACTTGCCGGGCAGAAATTTGAGTCGAATGAGGAGGTTATCGCCGCCACGGAGGCCTACTTTGCAGACCTCCAGAAAACGTATTTTTCAGACGGGTTAAAGAAGTTGGAGCATCGCTGGGTCAAGTGTATCGAGCTGAAAGGAGACTATGTAGAAAAATAAATCGCCACTTTTCCAAAATTTTTGTTTTTCTTTTGTAGGCTAAGTACTTATCGGACCGACCTCGTATTAGCAATGTATGTATGTTGTTAGGTGTATTTTTATGTATATTTCAATTTTCTTTGACATTATCTGTATTCACTGTTCAAAGTCCAGGGTTTATTTGTATTATGCATAATTCTACCACTAATTATCACCCAGCAAAGTGAGAGAAAAATTTTCTTTATCGAAGAAGTTTCTGCAAGTCGATACTTTCTTTGACCCGGCTATTGGAAAACCTTCAATATGAATTTAAGATAATTCACTCAATCGTTACCTCGAGTATCTCAAACAAGAGTATATAAATCACTTATTTCAGTTTAAAATAAATTTTATTCACAGCTTTTTGTTAAAAATATTAGAATAGTTTTTTGTTTTTATTTTCTGAGGAAACAGTGATTTTCAGATAACTTATTCAATGATATTGTATATAATTTTCATCATTATTTACAATTATCATATGATGAGTAACGTATCACTTCTTTCCGGGAAAAATTTGTTATCCTTCAATGTAATGGAATTTGAAAGTGATATTTGGACAGCTTCTTTTAAAGTAAACTCATTAATTTTCCAAAAGTTTCGAAGAAACGTGAACAGGTGATAATCTGTTGGCACAAGAGTCTGGTGGATGAAGAACTATCTCCCAATCAAACCTGTTCAGAGTTTGCAGTGTTTTTTGCTCGATGTGCGGTTGAACGCCGCCATAAAAAGGACGATGCCTTCTCTGTTAGCCAATATTAGACGTTTCTATTGAATTACTATCTTTAAATTGTCCAATTGGAGCCAATAATGTTTGACATCAGCAGTTTTATCTGGTTTCAAGAGTCCATGATACAGCAATCCTTTGTGATCCCACCAGCAACTTAGCTTGAATTTTTTTTCGGTTCACGGTGCCTTTTGACGTTAATGGCTCTCCTGGCACAATGTAAACACTTTTACGCACTCTAGTTTTATAAAAAAAACTCCACTTTTCATCTCCAGTAGTGAAACGATTGAGAAACACTTTGTTTTTCTGTCGAGTTAGGTACAAAATACTATACAGCAAGAAATTCTATCCACAAAGTTGTCTTCGCTGTGTTCGTAAATACCAAGCACTTAATTCTGACACAAAACCCAGAGGCTTTTATGCGCGTTTCAACGCGGTTGTTTGATGTATTTCGCTGCAGAGGTGATACGAGAGTTTGTTCTAATCTTGTATTCAATTTAATGCTTGCAATTTTATTTGTTTGCTGTGAATTATTTACAAGTAACGAGTATAATGTTTATTTGGTATTCATTATGCAAAATTTATATCTAAATAAGACTTTTATCCATCCCTGATTTGAATGACGTACCGAAGTGCACGAGATTTGTTTGAAATCAGTCCATTGATTTTAAAATAATATTAAAGTTGTACATTGCACAGAATTTTATTTAATCTTTAAAAGGAATCGAAGGTATCCTCCAGTCGAATTATTTATACTACACGTCGCACGATATCCTTCGCGTTGTATCACGTAAATTCTTAATACATTACAAAATTTCAGTTACGGTAAATCGTCCATGCAAGAGAAAACTTAATCCCTTGAATAATTCCGTACCATCTCGAAGATCGTTTGAATTAAATTCTAGAAAATATCGCGCTAACGAGATTCTAGGAAATGAGACGACATATATTTGCAATCTCCGGTAGGCAGCTTGAGATAAAGTTAAAACTTCGTACTTTCAAAGCACTGGCCGTTAGTACTTTTTGCCTCTACCCCCATCCACCCGTGGGGATTGCCTGTGTAACTTGAATTTATCGAGAAAATTATATTCTCTGTACACACAGCCCCGCGAGAAACTCTCGGACGCCGCTTTTGGCGGTGTGCGATTATAACGTGGAAAGTCTCTTATTACATTGCTACCTGAAAGTAATAAGCCGTCTAATTTAATTTGCGGAAAATTCGAAACTAACCGCCGAGTAGATTAAATGCCGCGGCGCTTTTTTTATACTCTCGCTGAAATATTTTGTCGAATAAAAGCTCCTCGATCGCCTCATTATCGTTCTTGTAAACGTTCGATCCTGCGTGTTTTTCATGATCTGCGCTCGCTCTTGATCTACGTACACACGATCACACGCTAGAACGAGTATCTCACACACGGTGCTCTATGATGAATAGATACGCTGGATTAATGGGAATGGCTCAAGTACGACAATTTACCGCAATGAAATATATACGGCCGTTCATTTATTTACCGGTACGCTTGAAATTTCACGCTAATCGCCGTCAGCCGTCGATAAAAGCTTCTACGGTCGACGTATTCCAATATTCTATTCTCTGTTTTTCTGTCCCTCCCCACCGTTTCTCCTTAAATTTCTGTCAGAACGAATTAACACGCTACCAGATGCTCCCGCTATGGAGATATTAAGAAGGGAAAAACTTATAAACACGTAATTTTACTCAACGGTAATTCCCGCGGGAGCGGTTTGTAATAACTGGCAACGTACATCACGACACAAATTTAATTAAACACTCCCTCGGCATTCATTTCGCGCCTCTAATTTATGTATGGATAACTATGCTGCACAGCTCCGAGATTTCATGACGTTCCAGCCTTCCGGAATGTATTTATCTATGTTTATTAATGGGCGTCACAATGGCCAGTGTTCCGAACGATTCAATAGCGTGTGTCGGGGCATTTGATTTCGGCTTTGTCCTTCGTGTTTCGTCCTGCGGTGATAATGCATCTTAATGGAAATTAGTTTCAAGTATTCCAACGTAAATTACCATGTTTTTCGTGTCGATAATGATAAAATTGAACAATACGAAACAAAAAATTTTTATACCGTTCCTACTTCTTATTTTAACATTGAATCTACCGCGGCCGGTCAAATGACCGTTTTTTAAATTTTGTTTAGAATTTCTAACATGCAATATTAGTTTAGCGGCATTTAACTTCACGATTTTTCTTATAGTATACGTACAATTTTACAACATTCAATTCTATTCTTATTGTTTGTTTTGAACCGGTCGAATGATTTATATTTTTCTGTAAAAAACTGGACAAAATTTGGTACCAGATTCTGGTTAGTTTCCTACATCAATAGGAAATATACAGCAAAGATGAAAGAGAATCTTCACTTTCCACTGTCTTAGAACAGTCCAACAATGCGTATTAAAAATACTAAAACTTTAGACGCGTGTAGTTTCGAAACTACAAATATTTTATTTATAAATGAGCCATCGTTAAAGGTGGCAAACCTTCCTCTTTAAAATGGTTTTTGGTTTTTGTTGATCCGACTTTCCGTTTCGGAGATATCTTAATTTATGTAAAAGGTAATATTTTTAATTCGGCTATCTCTTTCTTCGTCTAGCGGAGTCGGACCTCTTTGTCGCACGTGCGTGGTGCTGACCTACCTCGCGTACGTGATTGTCGTGACCCAGTTTCGGCGTAGTATTTCCAAGAATTTACTACGCACGCGAGATCAATGAACTCGTGAACGCAACGAAACGTAAACAAACCCTATCTACGAAACTAGCCACCGCATCGATTTGAAACTAAAATCGCTATATCTCCGGAACTAAATGAGCTATCGACTTGTTCGAAAGCTCATTTTAAAGAGCATTTCATCCCCTATCCGATGACCGTATCAACTATTATTATTTATGTTGTCTTCTATGTTTATTTTAAC